ATGCTGGTTTACATCATGAATTTGTAGTACAGTGATTGGTTAAGAGATACCACGTGTTTTACTTGCCCCCATAAAAAAAGTCATTATTGCTAAAGTTAAGATTTAGGATGTCTTGTTGCAAGATATTGCTTTTTTTTTTTTTTATTAACTTATTGATATATGATAATTGTATTAAATTTTAATTAATTTAAAATTGAGTTATGTTAGATCTTATTAGTGAATAAATTCTTTCAGTGCCCTTTTTTTTAATAAGACTTAAACTTGAAATCTCATTTAAAAAAAATCAAACTCGTTTCACTCAAATCAATAAATTATTGATGTTGCGAGATATTGTTGGTCTTAGTTCATGGGCCTACTAATTTTATTTGCCAAAAAAAAAAAAATCTTTTGATTTCATGAGAAGTCAACATATGCTATTTTTTGTTTTCCAGCTACTTTTCTTTTTTATGTGAAAGATTAGTAAGAAGTTACTTATTTCATGTTTTAAAAATATAAAATCTCAGATCAAAGTTTTTTCTTTTTTTTTTTTAAGTTGATACTTACTTGATCAAATTTTTGTTTGTCTAATTGCTCCTTGCATACAGAAAAAGAAGGAAGTGCTGGGCATCACTTCTTAACCATGGATTTTTTGTTTGTTTGGTCAGCAAATGAAGGATATTATTCATTAAGGAAGTATAAGGGAACTTCCAACCCAATACAAATGAGATCTTAGCAGAAGCAAACCTCCGGACATTAGATTAAGGCCGGCTTTATTTCCGTAAAAAGATCTGATATCCCAATCCCCGGTTGAAGATGATAGTGTTGTAAGATCAACAGCAACTGACCTCATGCTTGGTCTATGTTGAGGATTTTTTTTTGTACAAGCTTTGGCAAGATGGGCAATCTGTAACCAGAACAAACATAACAGCTTGTTAGAATTGAGGGTTCAGGTTATGACATGCCTTTGCATACCTAGGATCGGACAGACTCATGAAACCTGACCTTGAAGACTTCATCCATGGGGTAATTATCACCAAGCTTAGGATCAACAAGTTTATGAAGATCTTCTTGTGAATCAGGCTGACTTAAAACTTGCTTAAACTGCACATACCAAGATAAACAGGGTAAATGATTTGTTGGAAACATTTTAAATTGACTGGTAGTTTACCAAGAAAGGGAAAACAAGTGATGATAACAACCAAAGCAACAAGTGTCATTGTTTCTGTGGCATCTTCACCGCTCTTGATAACAGCTTTCTTCGCAGAAATGAGTTCGTAAAGGACAACTCCGAAGGCATAAACATCCACCTTAGGAGACACATCACCACCTCTACACCTAAATCAGAAATTCAGAATTAGACAAGCTTGTATTTGTGTTTTTTTTTTTCTTCTTTTTTTTTATACTAAATCTTTTGGTATCCAAAAATCAAAGAGAGAAATACTTTTTAGTACTTGTCTCTCTATTTACAATAGTCAAACTTGAGATTTTACTTAAGGGGAATTGAATTTCTTTCACTCAGATTAACAAGTCATTGGTTGCATCTAGTTTTAAAATGCATACACAAACACATTGATGGATGAGTTCTTACTCTGGAGGTATATAACCAAAAGTACCAACCAAACGAGATTGGGATGAGAAATTTCCATATTCAGAGAGTTTGGTTAACCCGAAATCGCCAACCTGCAAAAACAAATGCCTGAGTTAAGACTAAATAAATTACACAAGTTTAGAGTCTGCTATGCAATATGCAGATAATATTTAGCAACCTTGGCATGGAAGCTTTTGTCTAATAATATGTTTGCTGACTTGATGTCACGATGAACATAGACAGGGACAGTGTGCTCGTGAATGTATTCAAGTCCTAGAGCTGAATCCAAGGCAATTTGCGCTCTAGTTGGCCATGGTATTGGGTCCCTTTCTGAAAGCAAAAGCAAATTCTATGAGACCACCATATTAAATTTGACATTTGCTATAGAGAAGTATCAATATGTCTCTCTGACCTGAACCACGCAAATAATGACTTAAATTGTCATTCTCCATGAATTCATAAACCACAAATAAGGAGCCCTCCATACAATATCCAATTAAGCGTACCTAAATGATAGTTCAACATAGATATCACAAATGACTCAGAACTCCAAATAACATAGTTAAATATCCACTTGAAAAATCAACTTGGTCATAAGTTAATAAGACTATATAGGACTAGTTGAAGAGATCAATATTAAATCATTGCGCAAAGTTCATTTTCTTTGCCTCCAGCCTTTATGATTTGAATCTGGGCTCTAACCCTTCCACTAGCAGACAAATTTCTTGCCCAGAAATTGAGATTAATTGAACTCTGATTACTTTTTTCCATACTAAGTTCTAACAAATGGTACTCTAGGGTATGATAGGAAAAAGGAGGATACCAGATTCAAGTGATGAACATTTGTCAAAACCTTCAATTAAGCTAGAAATTCTTTTGATGCTTTCTTTTCCATCTTTTTGATTGCGGCTTTCTGTACATTAATGAAAGAACAACACGGAATTGGGTTAAAAAATATTCAAAAATATCCATACAATGATCCCTTAGGGAGGAAGGTATATGTAAGATGAACCTGTTGTGTTAATTTGTATATAATCGCCATTAGTGGCGTTTTTCTACTCAGGTTACTTTTTTTCACTTGTTCGTTCTTTGATGATAAATTAAAGAGGAATAACAGGACTGTATACCTCGCCTCTTATTTCTGCATAGTAGACAGATCCAAAGCCACCTTGTCCAATCTTATTAGCCTTGCTAAAGTTATCAGTTGCGCTAGCAAGCTCATCATATGAGAACTCCACAGATTTGTTCACTGTGATACCAGGGAGCCTAGGAGAAACAAAATGAGCAGCAGTTTCTGAATTTTTCTTCAAGGTACTTCCAGAGCCTAAATCCACAGCACACAAGAATGATTACTGAAGGCATACAAATTTCAATTTATAAGATAAGAACAGCAGACTCATTGTTGTCATGGAAAGAAAAATTACTATGAATGTAATGTTCTAGATGAGATGCTTCTTTGAGAAATAATGCCTGCACCACTCTCTTCTTTTTATAGAGTCTAACATACAAACAAACTAAACAAAGCAATGTCCCAGCGACAACAGCTACAGATATGCCTGCAATGACTCCTCTTTGGATTCCTGTTTCAAATGCCATAAGAGAGTGAGCTTAATAAAGCATCAGTTCCATCTTCGGAGACATAAACAGAAGCATTACTCGAAGAAGACAACCATACCAGTTGCTCTGCAAGAAAGTTAAACCAGGAGACAAAATTATTAGACAACTTGCGATAAGGGTCTTGTAATCTGAAACTCAGTTGATCCTTGAGGCCACAACTCACCTTATCTTTAGTGGTGGAAAGGTCCCATTCTAGTCTGCATAAGAAAAAGGAGCCCAAGCTTAGTAAGAAGAGCAATATGTTCAAAATATCAACAGCAATATACTGTTTGGTGCATTCCTCCTACACCAAACATTATAGTCGAGTCCTAAAAAGAAGAGACACGGTTAAAATCAAGAACCATGTTTCTCCAATTGTTATTGATTAGACTAATTCAATTTCAAGCCTATTCAATGTGGAAGATGCGAGCATTTCAGTCTAAGATCACTGCTAATTTTAGCAAACAATGACCGAAGTAGTACATGTTATATTTAAGTTGGATACTGCATTTAGGTTAGCAATTAAAGCAAACAAGTCACTAACCTCTCTTAAGTTGTGTGGCCTTGACATAAAACAGGTCCTAAACTAGGTTACTTCACAAGGTTTCAATCAATCTATCTGGATTTTTCCCAACTTAACAAATGGATTAATGACTTTGAATGACTATTTTTTTATATCAGTAAAACTGACTAAAAAATTGTTTTTATTCATAATTCATTAAAGAAAAAATGTTGAGTGGTTCGATCATAATTAATACTAACTCTTGGATGGAGTCTTAATTTTCGAATCCCTTCTCCTTACAATATTTTATATTTTACCGTTTAATATAATTTAAATAGTAAAACAGCTTCCATTTATTAAAACCATGTACTAATAATAAGGATATTAGGTAATCATTGAAAAGCAATAGACAACACTAGAAGTATAATGTTGTCCTCTTTAATCACTCTCCACTAAAATATGTTTTTGTTTGTTAAACATCCAAACATCTCTACAATGAAACATTCATATCTGGACAACCAGGGAAGCATCGATGGCCAGTGTTGCGGGGTGGTCGCCGGCTAACTGCGCGGACACCACGCCCAGAAACTAACAGCTGCCATGTTGACCAGGTCAGCTAACCTAAGACTTTAAAAAGGACTGACCTTTTGCCGGTGCAAACACGAGTCCACTCTCCGCACTAATATTGGCCCGTGGATTATACCTGATCAGTATCTCCGTCGACACCCCAGCCTCCGCCGCGAGAATCGACAAGTTCTCCCTCTGCCGGGGAGGATAAGTCGTGAACAACCCATAATCTTTCGACACTCTTCTATCCCCGCACGAGCAGTTCACCGTCACATTGATTAGAGAATTGATCGGAATCCTGTTGTCACCATAAATATTGAACCTATGCACCCAATCCTCGGTGGTGAGATTAGCATAAACCGTTTGAGCAACCTTGTTATAGATATCTCCGAACTGGGTAATGTAAGTAAAAGTATGACCCAAGAAATCACCGTTCAGACAGTCACACGAGAATGGCACCTTGATTCTGTCATCAGTGGCGATGTAATCTGAATTCTCGATTTGGTGATTGTAGGGAAGAATTTCTGAGATTTTAAGGTTGAAGATGGTGCTGATATATGTAAGATTGGAAGCATCTTGGGATACGTAGTATGAAGCTAAAGCAAGGTCACAGCCAGTTCTGCATTTCCCCTGGACATTACAACAAGACATGAAAACAAGAACAAGAAATACAATGATAAGATTGAGTGCTGTTTTTCTCTTTAAAACAGAGAAAAACAACATTGTCTTAGGGTAGATAAGAGCTGGGGAAATTGAGATTTGGGAATTGAAGGGAACAGAGGGGGATTTAAAGATTATTAAATAAGTAAAAATATAAGTAAATTTTTAAATAGTTAAAAAAATTTAATTATATAATAATATGTTATATTATAAATTTAAAATATTATGTGATATTATAATTACATTATTATTATTTTATTTTTTATTCTTTTAATTAATGCTTTAAATTTTAATAAAAAAGATAATTCTAGAAAGTTAAATCAAACTTGTCTTCTTTTCTTCCAAGGTCAGTTGCATGGAAGATATTGTGCCATTCATTCGGAAGGGAAGTTTCTCTGTTGATTCGTAGGTGCATGGAAAGCAGTCTTGTTTTTCTGTTTGAATTTAATGGTCTCGGTGCCCTTGACGTGTATTTTGAAATTAATCATTTTCTCATTATTAAAATCAAACATTCACATCTGAATAGAAAATTCTTAACAAAGTATCAATCTTCTTTCCTAATTGACTGAGTCGGTGTTCCCTTTATCATAATTGACTGATTGAATGGCTTTTCTTTTTTCTTTTTCTTTTTTTTTTTCAAAAAAAAAAGAGACATTTTCTTATAACTAATTTGTTCAAAATTCATTTTTTTAAAGCTATGTAGTCTACAGGACATTAGAAAAGAAACTTTCGAATGAGTGATAATTCTTAATAGAAAGCACTCATTTCTCATTTAAAAGTTGAGGAGATGTTTGTTTAGTATTTAAGAGGTGTTTGTTTTTAGGAGGTAGTTGATGGTTGTTGATTCCAAATAATTATTTAAAGGTGTTTAGATAAGGTTTTTTAATTAATAGATGTAAATCAACTAATAATTAGGGGCAACTTGAACAGTTATAAAATGAATTAATTACTTAAAGTTAGTTGTTTGAGTTAAACGTTGTCAAAATTTTTTATTGTACCAATATACCCCTAACAATATTTTTAATATGGTTTTGTTTAGCATAGTGTAAGGACAGGGCCGAGGTGCCAAACCTCGGACTGCTACAGTAATTTCTTTATGACCGAAGTGAAAAATGAATCTGAAGCTTCCCGCTCAAATAGCT